TTTTGACAGAATTATGGACATTTACACCATACATTTATGAAGAGGTACAAACTGATGCATGAAAAAGTGTTTGATGCTCAAAGTTTTCTGGCAAAGGAACCCAAAACCCATGTTTCATGTGTGGCCCCCAAGTGTTGAAATGAAATCTACACACTACAGGTCTCAAGTTTCCACATCACACTCCTGTAAGCTGCATACTGGCCTACAATTGGTTTCCACACTACTTGTGAGATCACATAATCATGCTTGACATACACGTTAACTCAGATTTAAAGTTATTTTCACGAAACCCAGTTTTTGAGACCATTTATGGTCAGCATTTGTTCTTTACTGTTCACTTTACTTTGCTCTCTACACTGAGTCAGAGCTGTTTTAAGTTACAGCGAATGCAACTGGATCATCCCACTGCTGCTGCTTCACATTAAAAGCTCTCAGCTGGCACCAAATCAACCAGGACTGAAATCTTAAGGATTACAACTTTTAGGTGGGCACAGAGACACGACACCCCCCTTCAGAAGATGAATGTGAAAACAGCATTCTGGTGTCGAGCTCTGCACATGAATCATGCTGCACAGAGAAGCTCAAACACCCAACACGTTTACTAATTAAGGCAACACTTTAAAAAGCGATGACAACGTGGCAAATAAACTGCAACAGTGAGATGAATTTGGCTCTTACAAAGTAGAAGCAGCTCAACTTCCCAGGCACAGTTGGTATGCACCCAACACTCCTGTCCCTCAGTCACTGTGGGTGAAACTGTAGCACTGTGAGCCAACGGGGGGGGGGGCACAGCAGGGTTCACAAAGAGGCGGTCTTGTCATCAGAGGTGGAAACACACGATACAGCCACCCGATATCGATACTGCTGGCAGGGGATACATTACGCAGTGTGGCTCGACAATGCCTGCTGCCTTTTCAGAGACACGTGTCTTCTCAGTGTTGCTGCAGTCTTCATCTAAACTTTATGATTAAAGTTTTTTGGACTGATGTTTGGTCATGCAGGGAGCACGCAGTTTCAGAGAGTTAAATAAGTAGTAAACACAGCCATTCAAGCGGGCGGTGGTGCAGATGGTCCCTGAGCACAGCAGGAAGTGAGAAACTGATACTGTTTGAGAGCTGAGGATTTGTAGAAGAAGAGGATAACTTGGTCAGGTACTCCAGATGCAACTGATTAAAAAAACCTTGCACCCGATTTCGTCTCAGCAACGTGACCTTAAACCAACTTATTTAATCAAATAAAAAAGCATTTATCTGTAAGAGAAACGAGTACATTCTTTCCTCTCTGTTCTGGCATACCCAACCAAGAATCGTGCTGCTGCCCGGTTTAATCACGCTCGTGCAATCTGGACACATACGTGAGGCCCTGATGAAGCCTGGTCTAAAGGATTACAGTTTCTCACAGAACAAGTCTCTCAAATGGCTGCCCTCGTGACGAACATAAAACAGGATGCTGCGAAAATCAACATCTACTACTACAGCACGTACGACAGCGACAGAGGAGGATTTGTTTTCTTTTCACAGTCATCTCTTTATTAAGCTCCGCAGCGCTGAGCCAATTTCCTTTTAGAATCTCCCAACAAAGCCAATGGATATTTAGAAACCTAAAACACTCATTTTAATTGGAGACACACGCAAATGCCACTTAATTCTGCATTAATGCCTCAAAATATTCATTACACTCACAGTAATAATGCTGTAGCTGATACAAGGGGTGTAATGAACGATCGGAAATAACGTTGTGCTGGCACGCAGCCAAGTCGTGCTGAAAAATGGGATAAACTCTGTGTCATACTCAAAAAACAGACAGCCCCTCTCCGATGTGGAGCTCTACCCGAACCCTCAGCACACCAAGGCTCGTCTTTGTCTGTCACTTCAGAGTGTGAATGCTACAGTAGGCGAGTTTAAACCTCCTCTGCTGTTGAACGTGTAAAGTTTTCTGCCTTGAGAACAATCAGCAAAAAGAAAACAGAGAGGATGTGACACAAATAAGACGTTTCTGATTTCATACAGACTTCTCGCACCTCTCTTTGGCTCTCATTCACTGACTCGAGCTGACAACACATAAGTGGCACAGAGCGTGATGCCATTGTTGTCCTGTGAAGGCTGCTGACACCCAATCCTGCAGGGACACTACATTGGCCATCAAGGACTGCTCGGATTTTCCACTTTGCCACTAAGCTTAAAAATGTATACGTTAACCCCTTTTCTCAGCATGTCATATCAACACATTGTCTTGTTTGACATATAATTTATAACATAGCAGAAGAGATAAGAGTGGCGTACTAAAATAGAAATCGACAGAATCTACAGGATGAAAAGGGATTGTGGCAGAATTCCCACCAGGTTTGGTTTTCTCCTCTGTTGTCATAAGAAAAGCAACATAAACCCATCTTGCGTTACTGCTCACTCTAGCCAAACAGCTAGCCAAAACAGTCAGATGGGAGCGTTCCTTGTTGGCACCTTCGATTCATTCTTCAGCATGAATTTAAACACTTTTATCTACAACAGAACAGGTACATTTAATATGATTTATTGGCACTCAGTCGAGCTCACAGCACTGATTCTGTATCCAGCCATGCAGCTCAAACTGCTCACCATGTGTTGTTGGCTTCACGCTCACTCGCTCACTGGCCATTTCGTGCACTGACGTAGAGTTTGGCCGTGCAGAGGCAGCAGTGTTGCTGCCGCCTGCAATATGTGACCACGACGCCTGCCAGGTTCTCCACTGAGTATATTTCATTACTTGTTATTTAATTTATCCCCTTGTTGTTCGACTGCTGTGCAATCTCTAACAATGTTCAGTTCATGCCAAGAAAATTTATGCCCGCTTGTATTTCCACGAGGGAGATTCCATCTATTCAATGACAGGAAATTGAATTCTTTGTGGACTGAAAATGTGGAGGTTAAAGCCCACTCCTGGAAGTTTAGATTTGGGCTCAGTCCAGGGCAGATTTGTGGCTGCATGTCAAACAATCATCTGTGGCATCAGATTCCCACAGATAAGGGCCAGTAAAACAAACAGTCACGGCCCACCCGTCATCAAAACATTCCAGCAGTGATGAAAGTATGAATGGAAAAGTTTTTTCTATCAATCAATAGGTCTGCCAACACGCATACAATTTGCCAATGGCTTGTTGAAGTGAAAATTGTAAGAGCCTTAAGTTAGGCATGCACATCTTCAGAAGCTGAATGGAAAGTAGCAAATACGCTTCAAAGGCATGAACCTGAGGAACCACGTCATCAGTATGTGGCGCGGGACTTGTTAGTATTCACGGACAGTTTTGTGAAACACAATTAAGCTGAGGGTCCTTTTGATCCTCAAACGTTGGATATTTCCTCAGGATGCTGGGTCGGAATTCAGCGTGGCATAAAGAAAATGGAATTGTCCAATGAGCTGAATAAATAAATGGTAATTCTAAGCTGCTAATTCTCAACAATATACAACATTAAAGTGATGAATATGCAGATAATATGAGTTAACCACATGCTTGATTACATTCCTGCCTCTGCTGCATTATGACCTCCTTACATGTGATTACTCATAATTAATGGAACAACTTCAAAGATGATGTTTCATAGATTTATCTCTCCTCTTGTCCCGCACTTGTTTACACGCAATACAATGACTTAGAAACCTGCACAGATGCATTTCCAGCTTCGCAGACGATGTATTTCAAGACAGCTTGTTCTGTTTAAACTCACAAATCCGGGACAACTCGAGCAGACTTGCATGTGCGCTTTATCAAACGCTGATAATCATGAAAGCAGTGGGAGCTTGCAGGGAAATCTCAGTAAGAGGCAATCATATCCCTGTACATCCTAGATAACACTTAGTATTCCTCGCTGGGGCTCTCCACTCGCTATCCACATGATGGAAATCTATTCTGACCCTTACATTTCTGCACTGAGTGAAATGGTAATGTCAGGAGTGTATTTAGCAAATCATCCTACTATAGCCTCCAAATGATGACAGCCATGATATGTGTAGCTGCCAGTCAGCGTGTGCAGACCTCAGCACGACCGGAGCCTCACAGGTTTTCCCAGCAGCCTCCGACTATTACATTATGAGCGTTTTACCACCTTCACTGAGCAAGACAAACACTGTTGTGTCAATCTTGTACAAACTCGGGGGCGCACAATTTAATCCAGAGCCCATATCTTAATTAAATTCATGCTGAAGTGGTGCGCACATAAAGAAAACACACACACACACACACACACACACACACACACACATAGCACACGTTTCAGCATCGACCGGGTAATACATTAAAAAATTATGTTGTCATTATCATTATTAAATTAAATCTGCAGGCTGGAGTAACATCGATAGTGGAAAAGCCCCGGGAAGCATTAGTGTAAGCAGTGCCGGGCTTTCCCTGTGGCTTCAGACTGTCAATAATTGCTCTAGTGTTTCTCTTCGCTTTGCTGTCCGCTGAGCCTGCTTAGCTGCCCGCGTACTTGGTGTAGGTCAGAGACATTATATCTGCTTCAAAAGTAGGCTATGGCAAGTCGAGGTCGATGTGAACTGTCCATTATAATCAGCCGTGCTGCTCCGTAACCACAGAATACATTTCAAGGCAGAAGTGTTGGTAGTGATAATTCAGTGATACAGAGGAGTGAAAATAAAAGAAACACCTCCATTATTGGGGGATAGTGTCGCCTGTTGACAAGGTTATACCGTGTGCACAAGCATCTTCATGTTGGCTCGGATTTTTAATGACCAGCTCACCGGCAAAGATGGACAAGCGTTAAAAATGAGATAATAATTAAACGTTTCCCTCACTCACATGAACGCAGCACCAATATGAGAGAATATGTCACACAAGAATTGATATTAATTAATAAAGCTGCACTTGCCTCAGACTATATGACACTGTTGTCACTTTAAAATGTGACAGACTTTTTGTTTTGTTTCTAACGCGGCTGACTTTCCCAGCGCGCGCCGCTCCGTCGACACGCACGCTCACTTTTCCCTCTCTCCTCCTGACTTTAACTCACCTGCATTCCTGAGCTTCTTGTTCCGGTACACGGAGAAGATGACCAGGAGGTTGCCCAGGATGTCGACAATGATAGTGAAGATGAGGAAGCAGCCTAAAGTTGTGGTAACCCACGGCGGGCGGTTCAGGACGGTGTCACTGGGGTCTGGCGAGGAGCTGTTCAGGTGAGACCCATTTATAACCATTGTATACAGTCGCGGAACTTTCTCAACTTGCCCAAATTCAACGCGCCCGTGACTCCCCCGCGCGCGCGTCCCTAAAGCCTGGGTTTCGAAGACGCCGGTGGTGGGATACTAAAGCCTCCCGCGGCTTTCATCTTCATCCTCTCCACGCGCGCTTCTCCTCCTCCTCCTCCTTCTTCTCTCCTCTCTGTGGACTTGACCCAGCTGCCGTGGCTCAGCTCAGGTAGTCTCCCCCTCACTCTGGCCGCCTCTGTGTCACTTCTGCGCCCGTGTGCCATTCACTTTGTCGGTACGCATGTGTGACATGAAGCCGCAACTTCAAACCTTCCCAGCATGTGATCAAACAGTCCGGAGAGGAGCGGTTATATTTTGAGTGAGAAACACTGTCGCCTGCTGGCCGACAGGAGGAACTGCAGGTTAATGCTTCGGCAAAACGTCCTACTTCTTTTTCATTTACCGGATGCGTGTTCATTCATGGCTTTGCGGTCGCTCGCGTTGCTTTATACCAGCAGCCCATTCATTATCATTCAGAGGAATCATTCATGTTTTATCTGTTTCAGAAAAGCAGCACACTTATCCACGGCACCTGTAAGACAACAGAAAACTCTCATTTTAGCACAGACGACTGTTAAAGCATGCTGCTGATTTAAGGTGGTTCAGCCTTTGAATTATCCACATTTAAACTTCATATAAACAGACTGGTAAATAGGTCTAAATTGAATCCACAACTTTTGTTTGGTCGACTTTGCACACACATTACCACTGGAAATGCTTCTTAAATATAATTTAACATCTGTTGTATCCTGTATAACATCCATCCCTGGCTTCAGTGAAACCCCTGACCCTCCTGCTATGCAGACTTCTAATCACTGAGACACTAATAAAGTAGTATTGTTCGAGCATCCCTGCGCATGGATCACAATGCTATTGTTAGTTAATGATGTTCACAATAAATGGGTCAGCTGCCCCCACCTACACGCACACACACATGCACTTCTGCAGCCTATTCTTGAGCTGTCTCGACAATGACAGTTTGTCATTATATAACGTGAAAATTGTCATGTAACAGGTTATTTTCATTTGCAAATTCAAGGGTAGGTGACTGAAAAACATCATGTTTGAGAGAGACTGTGGACTGATCCTATATCAGCCCACCACCCCTGCTGTCAAGTCTTCTTTATCAGTCCCTGGGTTGCTGTAGGTATAACAGTTGTTCTCAACCTTTTTGGCTCATCACTCCTTAAAAATAAAGCAATGTATAGTTGTAAAACATTGACTGCAGTACAATAGATTGCAAGTCAGCCAAACAGTGATCATTTGACTATTTTTTTAAAGGTTTTAAAGGTTGTATTAATCGAAAGGGGGCAGTAGCTCAGTCAGTAAGGACTTGGCTTGGGACCGGAGGATGGCTGGCACGGTGCCGAGGTGCCCCTGAGCAAGGCCATGGACCTCTAACTGCGGGGAGTGTTGTTTAGCAGCCCCATCACTCTGGCATTTCTCCACAACTAATGCATTTGTATGTGTGTGTGTATTTCTCTGTAATCATTATCACATTATCGTTATTCAAAAAACATCTGACAAGGACTCTAATCTGCAAAGACTCTTAACACTTGATTGATTCATTCGTAATTTGTTCATGTTTTATTTTGCAAACTGCACATCTTTAACAAAAGTGTATCACGTCTTAGTCTGGGACTCTTATTCAGTTATGCAGTCTTTGTTTTTAGCTTTTTCTTTTTATGTATGATTGTGCCATTTTTGGCATCAAACCTCTCCTGCACAATGTTTTAACTTTTAATTTCTTTTTCCTTTCCTTTTCTTTTTTTTCTATACATGTATGTGCAAAAAACTAAACTAAACTAAACTAAACTGTAATCGATTTCTTGCCAAATTTTGAATTAATTGCAAACTAATTTGACAATCAATTCATCAGTTTGGGACATTTTTAAAGAAAAATGTCCAAATCCTCTGATTTCCGCTTCTTAAATGTGAATATTTTCTAGTTTCTTTATACTTCTGTGACAGCAAACTGATTATCTTTGGCTTGTGGACAAAACAAGACATTGGAGGATGTCATAGTGTGAAACACTGATCAATATTTCACTATTTTCTGACATCTTATAGAACAAATGAGTAATTAGTTAACTGAGAAAATAATCAACAGATTAACTGACAGTAAAAGTAACCGTTAGTTGCCCCACTAATTTCCTGTGTGTGTAATGAAAATGACGGAGTTCCCCAAGAGGCATTAACGAGGCACTTCTAATAATGTACTTTTTGTAATTTACAAGAAAGTAACGATATCAGACACTTTAAAGATTCACTAAGACAGTATTTTCATAGGGTACGGAAATGATTAGAGGGAATGTAATACACACTCAGGGTGATGCTGTTGCCAGTATTCTCAATTTGTTTTTTTTTTGTATTTGTTTTATATGAATCTGTTTTTGCATCTGGAACCTCCCGTCTACAACAGGCTTGAGACGCGCCCTCGTTTGAGGACTTGGCTCAGATTCCGGTTTTACTCCTTAAAGGGATAGTGCACCCAAAAATGAAAATTCAGCCATTATCTACTCACCCATATGCCGAGGGAGGCTCAGGTGAAGTTTTAGTCCTCACAACACTTGTGGAGATCCAAGGGGAGAGTGGGTAGCAACACAACTCCACCTAATGGACATTAAACTGTACAACTCCTCCCTCTGATGATTGGACTCATTTGGCTATTTATAAAACAAAACACACAATATAATTACTCATTCTTATTTCATTTATAACGCTTTATTTTATTGTTTACTTTAATATTTTATTTTATTTTATTTTATTTTAATGTCTACTTTAATATTTTATTTTATTTATTTTAATGTCTAATATTTTATTTTATTTATTTCATTGTCTATTTTAGTATCTTATTTATATCTTCATCTTTATCTCTTGTTTCCATTCATGCTGTATTTGTATTTCTACTTTGCACGGAGCATTGGAACAAAAACAATTTCCCCCCCGGGGATTAATAAAGTATTCTGAATCTGAATCTGAATCTGAATCTCTAAAACTTCATCATCGGCATATGGGTGAGTAGATATTAGCTATGTTTCCATCCAAAAGTGATTCGAATCATTGGGAAATGCGCATTGAAAGAAATACGAATCCTGTGTGTTTCCATTAAATGTACGGACTTTGGTGAAAACTACTAACTTGTGTGAGTTTTCCGCAGAACCGGAAACAAAACAAGTCTTGCATTCTTCTTCTTCTATGTTTTCTGGCGGTTTGCAACCAGCTTATAAATGCATTACCGCCTTCCCGACCCGGAGTGTGGATATCACCATGGAGAGAGGTGCGCTACGTCAGACTTAATTTGAACATAACTGTTTCCATCCCCCATTTTGTGAATCAGCATTTTTTCGAATCAACCAAAACCCGGCTAGAGCAAGCGTATTTTAGTTTGTGCGAATCAGGGGATTTTAATTCGAATTTTAATTCGTTTCCATCATAATTTTCTGACGCAATACTTCTAGATGCGCATCTAAACAGGCTGATGGAAACATGGCTACTGACTATACTCACAGAGCCACTAGTCACTGACATACACCAATAAGTTAAAGATTATCAATCCTTACAGCTGATTTACAACAATACCAGATCAATTAATCACTCACTCTGTTGTTATGACATGAAAGTAAACAAACAAACTGTAAAGTCTTATTATTCCAGATGCTCATCTCAGTAGTGGTTGTTGTCTGTGTCCTTGACTGTCACTGGAAAAAGCCTTGTTACATTATTCACCAAGACGCCTACAGCTGCTAATGCTAAGCTCGACGTGTTGAGAGCCGGACACGTCTTTTGTGAAAAGCTCTGACCTATTTAGCCTTATGAAACCACATTTTTAAAGAAATAAATGGCCTAAAACTGAACTAGAAAATTGACAGCTCATTTTTTAAGCTCATGAGGATACTTCTGTGTAGTTGTCTCTATCATTTGTGCATGTTTCACTGATCTGCAAGCGCAGTATAATACAATGATCAAGCCCTGACTTTGCTGTTATACTGAGAACACTCATCATTCTGTCCATCACAGCTTTATTATGTTTCAACAACATCCCCAAATTATTAACAATAATAATCCTGAGCCGCCTTTTGATCTTCCTCTATCTATCCTCCCTCTCATTGCCTTGTGTCACATCATTTTACAATACAAACAGCTCATTATTATTAGATATTTGTGAATTGCACTCATGCAAAATACGATCATTATCTCTCCCCGTTCGTCTCTCTATATTACATTTGCCTCTGCCCATTCTTCTGAACTGCTCTGCTCGCAGACATTTTTCAGAACATGTTGTAATCTTTAGAGCACTGAAAAAAAAGCACATTACAAAAGCCCCACTGTATATCAAAATAAAGTGGAGAGAGGAAAAAGCAGATTTTGAATAATTATAGCAGTTAGTGAGACAGCAGACATGTTGTAAGGAGCAGTAAAAGATAGGAGGACAGGGCAGACCAAATCTCTGTGTCATTTGCTGAAGTGCAATCATTTCCATTATGCTTGGTGATAAAAGAAGTGTTAGCAGCATCAGCAGAACAAATGGTACGTTTCAGCTACTTCATCAGGGCTGCAAATAAACTGCCCATGATTCCACATCTACATTTTATGGTAAAAGTGTTGCTCTTCTTTTACTGGAAATTAACAGGATGAGAATATTTTATGAGCTACCAGGAAATGTTATTTGCTGCAATTAAACTCAGTCTCAACCATTGCAGATCTATACCCACGCTTGACTCATAAAGAGACTCCTGTTATTTCAAATTATCACACCAACATCTCTCAGCTTTAACTTTATTTTATCTTGTGTTTTTTTGCAGGAGGAAATATGAACCATAATGACAGTGCAGCTATAGTGCATATTTTTTTAGTTTTTCAACAGCGGATGAAACCTTTTCCAGACATATTTGTAGAAACAGCATCTAAGCTTCTGGCCTCTGGGCAGGCAGTTCCCATGGCAGCGGTTGACTGATATTTTAGGGCCAGCATTTCTAGGAGACACAATTGTCAAACCAACACGTGCGCTACCGACTGGAGCACATCACAGCCCTGTAGCCCTAAATTTGATTCCCACCAGACACTACTTTTCATTCATGTTATTTTAGCACCTGCTGAGTCATTGACAGCTCACAACCTACGATGCACCAGGGACTGGAGTACGTCATAGCCCTGTAGCCTACGAACATTGATACAATACACTTTTCCTTCTCCTTTTTCAAAAAGCCCACATAGCGCTCATCACGTTTTGTTAGCGATTTGAGACATCCGGTTCTTTACAA